TTATTGGTAGGAATCTTTACTTTCTGTATTGCTTCAATTTTTGCCTTAGATTTATGTATACCCACTTTATCAATTACATAACCGCAATACTCAATTTTATCTTTAAGAAATTCACATTTTGAAAGGTTTACCCGTATATTATACTTTGCTAATCTACCTAGTACTAACTCTAATCGCTGAAAATGTATAGTATTATTAGGTGCTGTAATTTTAATATCGTCTAAAAAGACTGTAACCCCGTCAATATCTTGTAGTATTGTTTCTATTGTGCGTTGCCATATGGCTGGTGCACTAGCTATACCAAACATTAGCCTAGTACTTTGGTAAAGCCCTTTTGGAGTACTTAGTGTTAGATATTTTCTATCTTCGGGACATACTTCTAACTGTAAGTACGCTTGTTGTAAATCAAGTTTTGTGAACTTATCTCCCCCAGCTAAACTCAAAAATAATTCTTCTACTGTTGGTAAGGGATGCTCGTCTACAATTAAATTTTTATTAAGTGTAATTTTGAAATCTCCACAAATCCTAATTCTACCATTAGATTTTACAACTGGGACAATAGGTGTTGCCCATTCTGACGTATTTACTTTAATTAACACTCCCTCTTTCTCCAATATTTGTAATTCTTCTTCTACTTTGGGTAGAAGTGCATAAGGAACTTTACGAGCTTTAACAAAAATCGGTGTTGCACCTTCTTTCACTTGTAACTTTGCCTGCAAATGTTTAATTTTTCCCATATTTTGCTCAAAAACTGACTGATATTTTTGTATCACTTTATCTAATGTATTGGGGCATGTTTCTAGAGATACATGAGAAATAGTTGCTAGATCTAATTGTAATTGTCTTATCCATTCCCTACCAAGTAACGGTTTTCTATCAGACTTAACTATGTATAAATTCAAAATTTTCTGTACAGTGTTGTATGTAACAGTTACCGATACAAATCCTACAACGTCCAATTCTCTTTTACAGTAAGTGACTAATTGTAAGTTTGTATTTTCTACTTGAATATTGGGGAATAATTGTTTAAATTGAGTTACATTAATTATACTCACTGCAGCTCCACTATCAACTTCAAATTCAACTAGTGTACCATTTAATTTTAGCGTTAACAAGAATTTTTCTCTAAATGTAGTATGTTCAGTTTGTAATGTGAAAATTTCTTCTACCTGATTCGCCTGTTGTTTCTGTTGCCTTACTTTCATACATACTTTGCTTACGTGACCTTGCCCTTTACAAAGACTGCAATAGAGCTTCTTCTTTCTGCATTTAGATGCTACATGATTACTATCGCCACACCTGTAACAAAATATTTTGTTAGTATTAACATCTGAACTTGAAAATGGTTTTACAAAATTTCCACTTTTTGAAAACTTAGAGTTTTTATATGCTGGTGTAATGGATTGTACTGTCCCACGGTGAGCATTGTGTAGTTGAGCTGCGTCTCTTTGAGACACCTCCATACTCTTCGCAACTTCTACTGCCTTTTCTACGGTTAAATCCTTATGTTCCAATAAACGACTTTGTATTGCTTGGTTCCGCAGTCCAAAGACAAACTGATTACGTAGTGCCTTCTTAAGATATGTTCCGTAATTGCACTTGGTCGCTAACTTTTGCAAGGATGTTAAAAAATCTTGTGTACTTTCGCCTTCGTGCTGTCTTCTCTGTAGAAATCGAAATATCTCCGCTATCTCCAATGGTTCCGGATTATAATGAGTTTTCATATAATTCACCAACTCTTCGTAAGTTTTTTGTACTGGTACTTCTGGTGATAATTTGTCACACAAAACGTCATATGCGTCTGGACCCATGTAATGTAAAAGGTATGGTGCTTGCTTATTCCTTGGTACTCCGAACACACTAAATGCGCTCTCCAACCTCATTAACCATCTATCAAAGTTTTTAGTTGTATCGTACGTTTCAATGGAGAATACTGTATGTACGGCATGTGAAATCGGTTCTTGGATAGAAGATGTAAGTGTAGTCCCAGAACTTTCCGTAGTAGCCATTGGGCTTGTAGTTGTATTTGTCGTAGCCGTTGAACTTGTGGTCGTAGTCATGACTTATGTAAATTCTTTTTCAATGTGTATGCCCTTAACCTTACTTTTGGAACGCACCGAACGTGATCTTGTAAAATGTATATGTATTAACGTAGATTCGTATTTTTCGTCCTCGTCGCCACTGTTATATTTGTTGGGTCGTTGGAAATAAACGGATGATGTCGGATTGTTATTTATTAATTGCACAAACATATATCACCGACATTATTCTACATCAATTTTGTACAAGGCCCTAATCATCGGCTGTGTCTCTACTCCCCTATACTAATACCCTGTATAACAAACAT